TTATGGGTGCCACGAGTCTAAAGTTAGGGGGCAGCTGTGACTCAGTGCTAGAACTCCTGCCATTTTTGCAAGGGAATTCAGTCTGATTCCCAACCAGTGCACTTCAGGCACAGCCACCACCTCTCTTAAAATGGGAGGCCTGAGTGTTGCTAGGGTGCTGAATACATTTCAGCAGAACTTCCAGATGAAGACAGACTAGGAAGAAAAGCCTTGGAATCTACTCCCCAAGCCTCACCCAGTGAAAACACTATGAATCTTAAAAGTCCTCCCCATCACCATCCCAGGGGATGGTCAGGATTGGGAAGCACTCCCTTCTGCTGTGGGCAGGGTCACCATGAAGGACGGCTCAACCTGATAGTGGCTAAAAGCCTAGGGTTGCCAGATAAAAAACGTAGGACCCCCAGTAAGTTGGAGCCTCAGCTAAAGCTTGTCCTAACACACTTACATGGAAATATCATTTGTAGTGTGTCTTCAGCTCAAATTTCCCTGTGTTCTGTATTTCCTGTTGCAATCGAACACTTGGAAATGTGTCTAGTGTGACTGAGAAACTGGCATTTTAATTTGGTTTCATTTTCATTTAAAGAGCTGCACGTGATGCGTGCTTCCGTGTTGCCAGTTCAGTCTGGGAAGCGGGAATAGAAAGGCCGTCTGCCACTGTGCGGTTTCACCAGGATGGTTGGAGAATGCCAGTTCTCCATTCTGCACTCTGGGTGCCAGGAAAGCCTGCGTCAGTGACCGGGAAGCCGAGGTTGCCTTGCTGGCAGTCAGCTGTCAGTGGCTCGTCTAAGAGATGAACACCCACAAGAAAACCAAGTTGTCTATTGAGCAGTTACTACGTGCGGTGCTACACGCTTTAAATGTGCTTTCTCATTGGTTCCTCCCAACCGGTCTAAAGGTTTCGGTCCACTGTCCAAGGTTGAATTGTGAGCCATTAAGGTCATGTTTTCCCAGCACTTCAGAGCCTGGCCCTGTTTGGCAGTAAAGTCTTTGCAGGTGTAGTGAGTGAACACAAGGTTATTCTTGAGCAGGGTGGGCCCAGGTGGCCTGGTGGCGTAGAGGTTATGTATGGGGCTGCTAACTGGTCCACAGTTTGCAGCCACCAACTGTTGCTCAGGAGAAAGATGGGACTTTCTATTCTGTAAAGAATGGCAGTCTCGGAAACTCACAGGGGTAGTTCTACCCTGTCCTGTAGGGTCGCTACGAATCGGCATGGACTCAATGGCAGTGAGTTTGGGTTTTTTTTTTGGGGGGGGGGTAGGGTGGGCCCTACTCCAACATGACCAGCACCCTTACAAAATGAGGAGAGGGCACAGAGACAGACATAAATGGAAGAAGCCAGACACATGGATGGAACACATGCGGCCACAATGCAAAGAACTCCTGGGGCTACCGGAAGCTGGGCTGGGCCAGGCAAGCTCTTCCTCAAGAGGCTTCAGAGAGAGGACAGCTCTGTGGCCACCATGATGGCACACTGGCTAAGCACTTGGCCGCTAGCCAAAGGGCATTTGGTTCCAGCTTACTAGCTGTTCTGCAGGACAACGATGTGGCAGCCCGCTTCTGTACAGATGACGGACTTTGAAAGATGCCCTCTGGGGCAGTTGTTCGGTTCTCGCAGGTGGATCACTGCGAGTCAAGAGTGGACTCAACAATCTCTGGAATTGAAACAATACAGTTCCATTGTTATCAGGCACCCAGTTTGAGATGATTTGTGATAGCAGCCCCAGGACAGGAATGCTTTACAAAGGAGAGCAGTGCTCAGAGAGGTTAAGTGACTTACTTCAGGTCACAGAGCTAGTAATGGGACTACATGTGCTTAACTTCAGGTCATGCAATCAACCAGCTTATTAGGCTCTAACTCAACTACTGGTCAGGGTCCTGGAAGATGAAATCCAATCGGAACATGTTTCAAAGTCTCAAAAGCCTCTGAAAGCCCAGCAATAGGTGCTATGGATTGAATTGTCCCCCAAACATGCTGAAGTCTTAACCTCTTGCTCCAGTGAATGAGACCTCGTTTGGGGAAATCAAGGCTTTTGCAGTGATTATTCAATTAAGGAAATTATACAGAAGGGAAGGGCAAGTGTGGCATTTTATAAAAGAGAAGTGCAGACCTAGAAACAGAATCCCATACACCGATGGAAGTCACCTGGGAGCCCCTTCCCTGGTCACACCTCAACAGGTGCAGGTCAGAGCAGGGCAGAGGTAGGAGCCAGCTAATGCCCCACACCTCAGAAATTATGGTGTACTGGTGGCATAACCAGCTACATGTTGGATGGCTCACCACAAGGTCAGGTGTTGGAACCCACCAGGCACTCTGCGGGAGAAAAAGTGACTTCCTGCTTCCATGAAGAGGGCTATCCTTAGAAACCCGTATGGGTCCTTTATGAATCAGAATCCACTAGAAAGCAGTATGTTTAGGGTTTGTTTTTCGTGTTGCCACACATCTCAAATGTTCTACACGGAAATGTCTTCCTTTCTTCCAAAATGGTGAAGTTGATCTGATTTCGGAGCCCCAACCTGGGAAGCCCAAAGCTTCCAAAGAATCCATCTCAGATACCGGACTAGAGATGATGATGCTCCTCGAACAAAAGTCCAAGCATCTTTCGCTCAATGAGGCCTTGGGCTCTTCTCCCAAGCTCTCGGGCTCCCATCCACCAGCCAGCCTGGCAGACAATCCTAACAACCCTTGTCGTCTGGCTTTGCAGACTTGGGTGATGGGAAAAGAGGCGCTTGAACAAAGGAAGGCGGCCGGCAGTGCAGACTTGCTAGAGGCAGGTGCCAGAAACAGAAAGGTGATAGCTCCCCATTTGACAAGGAGGAGAGATAGAAGATCTATAAAAAGTAGACAGAAGAACTATAAAAGTGTAATAGTCTAGGGCCATTAATGTTAGGACAAATTGTTCTACCTGCTTCATGAAATGAGGTTATAATAGAGCTCAGTGCAGCAACGGATGTTCTTAATAACACAGCTGGGTCTCTAAATAACAACACATTTCAGTGAGGATTTTTTTTATCCCTACAGCTGTCACTAAGGGGAGGAGGTGGACTGGGCAGTTTCCCAAAGGGTAGGGAGAGAGCATGGCAGTCAGTGGGCCAAACACAAGGCCTCCCTCCTCAAGCCTGGGGCGTGGCCCCATTTTTACCCGTTGGGAGTCCCTGGGTGGTACAATGGCACAGCCCTTGGTTGCTCACCATTGGTAGCTCCTAGTCACACAGAGGTGGCATAAGGAGCACCGGTCACTCTGACACACAGGAGGTCCCCATGAGTTAAGAGTTGACATGGTGGCAACTGGTTGGCTTCTTCATTTCTTGGAACACTGGTGTGCAGGTATCATTGAAGAGGACCATGCTTCCCACTCTCAGGCATATGGTTTTTTGGGTGGAATTAATTCAAACTCCCCACATCCTGCCCCGCCTCTATTTGAACTAAATCCCATTTGAATGAGAAGGCCTCTTCTTGAAGGCTGCTTCCTTGGTAAGGTCTTTGAGCACTTACACAGCTTCCCAATCTAAACTCACACCTCTGCATTGTTCTTTTTTTTATAGCACCTGGTTCTTGTCTCCGGTAGCAGTTGGGCATAATTCCATTTGCATTACCAGAAATGCACTGGTATGATATTACAGTAGAATCATATCCCCCAAAGAGGTGTTGTTAATCCTAACCCACAATGGCTATGACAATGAGCTCCAACCTAGCAATAACTGTGAGGCTGGCGAGGACTGGGCAGGGTTTTGTTCTGTGGTACACGAGGCCGTTACGAGTCAAAAACAACTTCATGATACCTAAAGCCAACAAACCTCCCAGCAATCTCGAGGTGGACACTTCAATGACTCCCACTTTATAGATAAGGAAACTAAAGCTTGGAGAAAGGAAGCAGCTTTCACCACACTTAGTGGAAGAGGATGAGAACCAAGGAAGACTGGCTCCTGAACCCCCGGGCTTTCATTCTTAATAGCTGGGATAGACAGCTTCATGCTTGACTCCGTCTCAACAGGATGAGAGTGCTTCTGGGAGCCCTGGTGATACAGTGGCTGAGTGCTTCCTTGCTAAGCAAAAAGGGAGCAGTTTGAATCCACCAGCTGCTCCAAAGGCATGAGAGGCCACAGCAGGCTCCTTCACCAGATAAAGTTCAATTGAAATTTCTGGCATGGAAATATTTTACAGTATTTTTCAAAGAGTGCACATACTTATGTTGTTTTTGTTGTTAGGTGCCGTGTGTGGAAACTGTTCTGATTCTTAGCGACCCTCTGCGTCACAGAATGCGACTGCCCTGGCCTGCGTGTTTGAGCCCAAGGATGCAGCCACTGTGTCTACCCGTCTTGTTGAGGGCGTTCCTCTTTTCCGTTGTCTCCCTAATTACCAAGCATGATGTCCTTCTCTAGACACTGGTCTCTCCGGACAACATGTTCAAAGTACATGAGATGACACCTCGCCGGTCAAGGCGTCCTCGGACTGTACTTCTTCCCACACAGGTTTGTTTGTTCTTTTGGCTGTCTATGGTACTTTCAATATTCATCATTCAAATGCACCCATTCGTCTTCGGTCCTTCTTATTCAACATCCAACTTCCACATGCATATGAAGCGATGGAAAATACCATGGCCTGGGTCAGGTGAACCTCACATTCTTCCACTTAACGATGCCTCCTTGTTAGTCTGAAATTCCAGGTGAGCTGGGTGTCCTGCATTGGATGGGTGAACCTGGAACCCTACCTGTAAGGAAAGACCAGCCTCGGAGGCAAATTCCTGGGAACCCCCTGAACGGGCCGGCCCCCAACAGACAGGGATTCCGCCGCCAGGCCCGCTGGTGGATCCCAGAGGAGCGGCTCCCGCCTCCGCCCCGCCCAGGCAGCACTAGTGGCGCCCCGAGCCCCGCGCGCCCGCCCCGCCTCAGCAGAAGGCCCCGCCCCGAACGGGGCAGGCTGGGTGGGTGGGCGGACCGAGCGCGTGAGCGCCGCTCCCCGCCACGCCACGTACGAAGGCGTAGCTGGAGGCTCTGTCACGATGTCGGCTTCGGAGGCGGGCAGTGTTTTCCGCAGAGCCCGGGGCAGAACCCTGGACGCGTTTCCCGCAGGTACTGCTGGCCCTTGGCTGCGGGGAGGGGACGCCCCCAGGCTGCGGAACTGTGTGCCGGGGGAACCGTTCCTCCGGTGCGCGCGCCCCTAGCCGGAAGCATTTGGACTGCACCGGGGGCCGGGGACCGGAACCGCGATGGCACCGCGCCTCCCTAGGACTTCTAGATGTGAATGAAGCAAGTCGGGTCCGCAGGAGGGCCCTCTATCTGGCGCCACCTGGCCTTGAACTCACCTCCCCGAATGTAAAGCAGCAGAACACATTAAACTGGTAGCGTGGGCTCTGTTGTTCGACCTGACTTTCATTCCCCGCCTTGGCCACGTGTGCGGTCTGCACATCTGGTGGGAAATGGAAATGATAATAGCATGGTTCTAAATAGTCCTTAGTACTCGTCCCGTCCTTGTTAAGTGCTGCTATTTTTATTAAGGGTTGGCCCCTTTGATGTATTTAATACTCCATCAACGGGTACTTACTATGACGTTTTCACCACAAGGAGCTCTTCAGAGCCCCTTGCTTCCCCAGATCTACTCTTGCCCAGTGTTCTGCTCCACGGGGTTGACCTCTATGGGCTACCTCACTGGGTTCAATAGCCTCTGACCTTCTTTGGGTTCAGCCATTGGGGAGCCATGACAGGGCACAGGAGTGAAGAGGCAACCAATAAGAGTACTTTTTCCCTGCCTAGTTTACTCCCTGAGAGCTTGTCTTAACGCAAAACCAAACTCACTGCCATCGAGCCTGTACCCACTCACAGTGACCCTGTAAGGCAGAATAGGACCACCATGTGAATCTGAGCCTGTCTATGAGAGCAGAAAGCCGCCTCTTCCTCCCACTGAGCGACTGGTGGTTTCAGATTGTGGACCTTGAGTCCATTGCGTAACTACTATGCCACCAGGACTCCAGGAGCTTGTCTTAGGCTATCTGTATGTATTCCTCACCTTAAGGGCACAGTACTTTTCTCAAGGAAACCTTTTGGACTCTTTCCAGGTTGCGGCAACCGCTTCTTCCAACTCTGCTTTTCCATCTTGGCTGTTGAACTGTTTGGTAGCTTCCCCATGCCCAGCCCATCTCATGTTGTGACCCATAGCGGCCTTGTGCACAACGGAACGACACACTGCCTGGTCCTGTGCCGTGCTCACCATTACTCTTATTGTTGCAGCCACAGTGTCAGTCTGTCTCCTTGAGGGACGCCTTCTTTTCTGTTGTCCCTTTACTCTATCAAACACGATGTCCTTCAGGGCCTGGTCTCTGGCCAACGTATCTAAAGTATGTAAAATGAAATCTTGCCATCCTTGTCTCTAAAGAGCACTCTGGCCGTGCTTCTTCCAAGATGAATCCGTGTGTCCTTTAATGAAAGGAGCAGTCCATGGTACTTTTAATATTCTTCAGCACCCCAGTTCAAATGCATTGATTCTTCTGTCTTTTTATTCACTGTCCAACTTTCTCATCCATAAGAGGCAATGGAGAATACCCTGGCTTCTGGCAGGTGTGCCTTGGTCCTCAAGGTAACATCCTTGTTTTCAGTATTCTACAGAGGTCTTGTGCAGCACGTTTACCACTTGTCTGTCAGTTTGTCGTTCTGTGGTGACTTGTGTCTGGCTGTGATGCTGGGAGCTGTGGCGCTGGAATTTCAGGTGCCACCAGGGAACAGGTTTCAGTGGAGCTTCAGTGGAGCTTCCAGACTAAACACAGACAATGAGGAAGGACCGGGTTGCCTGTTTCAGAGGAAGGAGCCATTGAAAACATTATGTGTAGCTTGGAAGCATCTCAAATCGTCCCTTTTAAAGACTCTTGTTCATTTACCATGATTTGGCCCTGCCAGCTGTTTGCTGCTGAGACCTGGCTGTTAGATTACACTTTAGTTGTTTCACGTTCTTCACTCTTTGCCAGTGCTGCTGTGAACATTTTTGCACAAGTTTTCTTGTGCGCATGTGGGAGGGTGCCTACTCTCAGGGATAGTTGTAGGTTCCAGGGCACAACTTTAGTAAATCAAGTCAAAATGCCTTCCAAAAGTGGTGGCATCAACTTCTCCCACAAGTAGTGAAGAAGACTTTTTTGTTATTCTATGGAACCTCTTTTTCCCAGGTCAGGAAAGATTTATTATGTTCCTAGTGCCGTTCCTGGAGGCAGTGGTGGGTCAGTGGTCCCTTCTGGATGGGAGACCCAGGTTCGATTCCTGGCCTGTATGCTCCATGTACAGTCAGCACTCCTGTCAGTGCTGGTTTGTCTGTTGATATGATGCTGAACAAGTTTCAAAGGAGCCTCTAAATTAAAAGAGATTAAGAAGGGAGGCCTGATGATCTACTTCTGACAACCCCATGGAGCACGCTTCTCTCTGACACACTTGGGCTCACCTTGAGTTGGAATTGACTCAAGGACACTCATGGTTTGGTTTGAAGTTTTGAAGCTTCCCAACCCTTTGGAAGGAACCACAGTGATGCAGTGGATTAAGTATTGGGTGGTTACGTGGCCGTTAAACCCACTAGCTGTTCCTTGTAAGTATCCATAAAGATCAGTAGTTTTTGAAGCCATCAGGAGTGGTTGGACTTTGCTGGGTGGCAGTGGGTGGGTATAGTGGGAACTCATTTGGAGCTGTGTCCTGGCTGCCAGTAGAAAATGGATTAGTAGGAACCATAGAACAAGAGAGTCGATCACTTGGACAAGAACAGATACAGTTTTAGACGATAAGTTGATAGTACATTTACCGATCAAATGACATTAAAATGACACCAGATTCTTTTGACTGAGTATATCTAGAAGTGGGATCTTCATGTGGCTTCCTCTGCGGGTCACACAGTCCCGAGGGGCATGCTCCGTGTTCAGGAGTGGGGTTTTTTCAGAGCACCAAGCTTGGAGTGTTGGGCTGAGAGCCCTTAGTCCTAAATTGATAAGTCTGCTTAAAATTCCCGACCACTTTCTCCTAGGTTGGCTTCTCTTAGCATTGCTGATGACTTTGGGAGATGCTCTTAGAGCAGTGGTTCTCAACCTTCCTAATGTCGTGACCCTTTAATACAGTTCTTCATGTTGTGGTGACCCCCCAAACCATAAAATTATTTTCATTGCTACTTCATAACTGTAATTTTGGTACTGTTATGAATCGGGCAACCCCTGGGAAAAGACCCCCAAAGGGGTCACGACCCACAGGATGAGAACCGCTGTCAGGTTCAGCCTCACCAGTAGAGTTTCCCCTAGGGCAGACTTGGGAAGAGGAAGCGAAAGCAGTGACTTCCCCCTTCTCTTGTCGGGATACCCACTGCCTGTCACAGGGTTGTATTTCTCCAGCCACCTTTCCTTCTGCTGCAGGTACCTTGCTGTTGCGTGACTCCAACTCTGGCTGCGCTGTGTGGGGGCAGAGAAGACTGGGCTCCCAGGACTTTCCCTAGCTATTGCTTTAGAACTGAAATACCGGACCTTACTCCAAGCCTTTGGGAGTTGATTGGGGCCACCAACCTTTTGGTGAGCAGTGAGGTGCATGAACGGTTTGCACTACCCAGGGACCCCTGCTACCAAAACCCCGGCCCAGAGCTGGATGATTACACAGCTGGTGTCTCCAGCGAAGGAAGCCTGATGCAAACTTTCTCCCTTAGAGACCATTTTGCTCCTGGTGGTTTCTCTGAGTAATGATAATGTGATGTCCGTGCGCTTCTTCCAGTAGTGTGAAAGGTGGCATCTGCTTTCAGTCGTGAGTTCCGTAACTGTTAACGCAATCTGCCAGGCTCTCTGGAAGGCTGTGTATACAAAAAACCAAACTGTACAAGTCTCACCCGAGAAAGCATGTTCAGAAAGCCTCATTTTAATTAGGCGAATTGATAATTCTATTCCCTAGACACATCCAAATTAGGGCTCCTTTTCACCTAACAAATAATCATCTTTCTGAAAATTTTACAACATCTAGTTTGAAGAAATCCTGAAAGGAAAATCAAAGTAAAATACATTTTTCAGGTGCCTATATTTAATGGTTCCAGGTCTTAATCTGACGAACCCCCCCCCCCCAACCCCCCCCCCCAGTTTATTATACCACCAGACTATTTCCCCCCTAAGAGAGCAGGGTCTTCGGTAGTTGTCTGAAAAAGATCCTTTCTCTGCACACGTTAAAACCTTTGCTGCTGTTTCAGAAACCCTCTCTGGGGGCAGGGACTCATTCGGGGTGTGGTGTCGCAGGTCTTGTCTAAGAATTTTTACAGAAACAGCAGCCTGGGAATACTTCTCCAAACCCGAATGGGGTTGATTGTACCTTGCTTTATTTTTTTGTTGTTCTTTTTTAATCACTTTATTGGGGACGCATATTGCCCTTAACACATTCCCTATACCCATCCATTGTGCCAAGTACATTTGTATATATATTGCCATCATCATTCTCTTTTTTTAAAATCATTTTATTGGGGGCTCGTACAACTCTTA